ATTACTCATCAGTTTTGTGGGTGCGTGGCCGGCTCTAGGAACCACAGAGGCAGCTTCCCGGGGTAGAATGCCTACTGTGGCAAGGCTCATTTCAAGAGGTGACTGTACATCCCTTAGAACAGATTTCAGTTCGTATGAGATCTTCCAGGTAAGATTTAGCTTGTCTTTTATTGACTTTTAAATATTTTTGTGATTCCCTTTATTTGGTCATCATCACAGTTATTCATCTACCATCCTAGTGGTTCATTTATTGGGTCCTTATCTTGTAATTCTTTGATTAGTTCTTTTTCTCTGATTATTTGATTAGGTCATTATATATATATATTAGTGATTAGATTTCTATCTGTAGTGATTAATGGTTAGAACAAATAAATATGCTAGACATCTATGTGTCAATTGTGTCTGTATCTGTTGTGCAAAATGACTAGGTGTTTGCCTTTTTTCATTCTAAATTGGATGAATTTGAAATATGTGATCAGGAACTTAGTTTTAGAAGTTACATGTTATTCCACAAAGCTAGACCCCAGACTATCTTCATTGTAATATTTACTTGTATTCCCATGATATGCTGTTTTAGTTAAGTTGAAATTTGGATATTAGTGTAGTGTGAAATGAGAATCGATATGTTTATCAGCATTTTTATTTCTTTCATCTACTATTTTTTAAAGCATTTTGATATTTTATGTCAATTCCTTACTGTTTGACATATGATGTTTGATATGAGTCAGGGAGTATTAGATAATCATGATTCTTTGTCAAATTATTTTATTGTTTCTCATTGCAGATTGTTTACAGAACACATGATCCATGGCAAATTGTAGCAGCAATCAAAAAGGCTATTAAGAAGAATGGTGGTAATTAGGTTGATAAACAGGTCATATTCTTAAGGGGACACATATTTTTCAGTTTTGTTGGTATATTTTATTTTTTGCAGCAATTGTGATTTATATTAATATTTTCTGGATAATACATGCATTGACATCATTATACAAATGTGTGTGTGTGTGTGTGACAGTGTGTGCATGTATGCACATGTGGGCCTGTGTGTGCATATGCACATCAGTGTCTGCATGTGTGTATGTGTATGAGAGAAAATGCATTGTTGTTATTGAGCTGTTAAACTTTGTTTTACAACCATTTTTGGGTGTGAAAGAAAAAATACATTGTCATAATTGATTAATTTATAGCTATTTTTGGTACTCCAATAATTCACATGCAATGGCTGTGCTTATTAGGTGCCAATGTACACCAAGTATTATTTGCCAAAACTATTTTGTTTAAGGGACCCTGTGATAGGATCAATTTATTTCCGTTTGTGCAGTATTATTTTCCTGTGTCAGTGATTATCATTCATTCATAATTACACACTGCATGTGTTTGCTCATCCATAGGTCTCATGTACAGAACTTCCAATTTAGTTTTGTGATCTTCATCATAGAGGCATATTTTTATGGTAGTTTCTTAAGAAGATTCAGTTGCCTCCTTTGACAATCAGTGGTCTCTCTCTTTTTTTTTTTTTTCCCCTCAATCATGTATACCATCAAATCAAAAATTTTCTTCAGTCTTTGTAATAGGCCCTCCATTTTCCATGAATGTGCATAAAAATTATTTTTTGAGAGCCATTTAGATACTATTGATGTTTGTGAAACTTTCTGAACCTTTTGCTGTTTTGAAGATTTGAATTTATTTCTAGTCTAGAATCGTAAATAAAATAAATTTTAGTGGTGTATGTTAAGGTGTTGCATCAAATATTTCTTTTCTCCGGTGCACAAAATAATGCTGATTGGGTATTATGCTCTTGTCTTACATGCTGAGAAAGGGTCATGAGTTGGAGTGTGATTCTCTAAGTGTTTTAAAGAGGAATGCAAAGGACCGTCAAAAACACCATTTCCAAAATGAAATACATTTGCATGTGAGATACAGACAAATGTATTGGTGTTATTCCAATGTAATGTTTTTCTTGCCATTGAAGTGATAAAATCAAATGAACAAGGAGTGTGAAAGTGCACAAATCTAGATATTAAAAAAATTTCCCAGCACAATTTTTTTCTGTATGAATATGTACAGGAGAACAAAAAAAGCTTCCTGGCTTGCACATAGAATTCACTGATGTTAAATACCTACCAAGTTGGGATGCTTCCCTATAGTAATGGTCTAAGCTTTTTTATGCAAAACAGCATTTACCAATTAATATTCTTGAATGTATTTTCTTAGCCAAAGCCAGAATGCATTTATTAGATGCCTCCTTGCACGTCTGTTTTACCTTATACCAGCTCTAGTTGAAGGCAAAGAAAAACTGATCTAGTGTTTGTTTAAATCTTATTTGATATTTTCACTTACATTGTACATAGTATCTGAGTATAATAGGAAGCATATCAGATCGGAAGATGTGAATGGTAACATCATATTTGTGTACCATGTTAAGAGATCACCATACAAGATAAGAGGATGTTTGCAGAAGTTTTTAATATAGTGTCAGCTTAGGCTCATGTTTCTGGTAATTGACGGAAAATGAAAGAGAATTAATGGTAACGAACAACAGGCATCTCCATATATGCTCATTTTCTTATTTTTCATCTTTTGGGATGCCTCATATGTAATCTTTCATTTGTGAGATGATTAATTCAACTCATTGCGTGCAGGTGACATTACATATATGCCAAGTCTACTGTAATTTTAGTTAATGAATTGTGTTTATGTCTAGATGGTTCCACATGTGTTTAGCTGTCAAGGAGTCAATTACTAGTTCCTACCTTTCACAAATGTTTTAACTTTCCTTCATTTTTAGTAAAATTTTTGTATTATTTTGTTGTTATTAGCATTTCAGTAACATCATGATTGTTTTGTCAATGATGGTAATAACAATATGGATACTAATGCATTGAAAATTCAAGGAGTGGGGATATGGTGTGAGTTGAGAGCCTAATAATTGACTCGGTGATGGCTGACCTCTAATGGATGCATCTGGCACAACAAACACAAAAGAACTACGGTGGACAGCACATGCACCTGTGGCTAATGGGTTAATGATAATTTTTCATATTGCATCAAATCACTATGAAAATTGTTACATCCATGTATGTAGCTTTACAATATCCAGTGTGCTTTCATGTAGCTGCTTCTATAGATCTGCGTTCCAGGAGACTAATTTTAACAGGCTAGAAGTCGGCTATTTTAGCATGGAATTACCTACAAGTGCACATGAATCTAAATGCACATAAAACACATGCACACCACACACACACACACACACACACACACACACACACACACACACCACACACACACACACACACACACACACACACACACACACACACACCTCTCCTCTCTCTCTCTCTCTCTCTCTCTCTCTCTCTCTCTCTCTCTCTCTCTCTCTCTCTCTCTCTCTCTCTCTCTCTCTCTCTCTCTCTCTCTCACTCACTCACTCACTCACAGTCACATGTACTCTTACACATGCACCCACACACCACATGTAGGCATATGTATGTGTGCACACACACAAGCATGCACGCATGTGCACACACGCACATGCATGCACGCATGTGCACATGTGCAACGCACAAGCATGCACGCATGTGCACACGCACAAGCATGCACGCATGTGCACATGTGCACACGTACAAGCATGCACGAATGTGCACACACGCACACACTTACACACATGCACATACACACACACACATGCACATACACATACACACACACATGCACATACACATACACACACACACACACACACACAACACACACACACACACACACCACACACACACACACCACACACACACACACACACACACACACACACACACACACACACACACACACTCACACACTCACACAAACATACACTCACACAAACATACACTCACACAAACACACACTCTCACACTCACACACACACGCACACACTCTCATGCACGCACACTCACTCACACTTACACTCACTCTCACTTACTCAGTTTAGTTGCTCTAACAGGCTGTAACATGCATTTGTAAGGAGTAGTCTTAAGTGATGGATAACCATTCAATAATAAAAGAATGCACGTTTGAGTTCATCACAAATAATTGCTTTAAGAACATTTATTAGATTATTGGAATATTCAGAACTGATTTTTTTTTTTTTTTTTTTTTTTTTTTTTTTTTTTTTTTATTGGTACACAGTATTGTATTTGTAATTAAGTAAATAACAACATAAATTTGATGCTTAATTGTTGGTATTTATTGAATTACAATTGTTTTTACTACAGTTCTCTCAGCTTTGGGTCAGTTTACGTCTGTTTTTATCAAAGATTTAGCTTAGATAAACTATTAGGGTTATGTGCACAATTATTCAGCGTATTACATTCTATGACCTAGTTTTAGTATCTTTCTTAGTTCTTTGTGATGTTTGTGAATCTCATTGTTCAAAGCCATTGCCATAATCTTTGTAGATTTGTTTTTCTTTTTCTGGTAAAAGCTTTGTTTTTGTTTATGTAAACGAGTTTCAAAAGGAATTTTTAAAATTAATTGCATAAAGGCCAGTGAAGCAACTTCATTGATGCTTGGATATTACTGTTCTTCTATTGTAAAACCTGTTTTGTTACCAACCACTTGCAGTGGGTCTCACATGTGAGACATCCAGAAAAAAAAAAAAAAAAAAAAAAAAAAAACATATCCGGGCGTCCTGCCGGTGCAATGCTAGATTGGAGCTTGCGCTCTGATTTTGTTGCCTGTGGTACGCGTGTGTGGCATGCAAGCAGGTTCCCGGACTGGCCTGCACGCGATTTTGAAGCTGCCGGAAACCATCATTTACGGCTTGGAAATGTACCAGCTCTAGTGGGTTAAGAGTCAGTCTCTTAGACTGATAATATACATTTGCAGGCATTCCTGCTTTGTTTTTATTGTGATATGTAATCCATGCAGGCATTTATTTGTCTCTAAACAAGTACTAACCTGTACTGAAATGTTCAATAAGGAAACTTTGTTCTTTAAGATTTGTATACTTTTTTTTGTATATTTTGGTTTCATTATAGTTACTGTTATGTTACAGTATGTTGATTTTTGTAATACAAGGATCCTCTTTTTTGTATACACAAAAATTTGTCTGACAATTAATATCTAGTCTTAATAAGAAGGAGCAATGGTTACACACTACCTAATAGTTGTTGCATTTTTCATTTTACTTTATGTGGACTGATACAGGTATGGCATAGATTGGGTATGTATGCATTATTTACCTGTATATGAACAAATAATGGCTAGTCTAGGTCTTTTCGGGATATAACGAGGTCATACACTGTAGTATGAGCTTATATCTACATTGAATCTCAAGTTAGGTGGTATTTTTTTCATACAAAAATTTATTTATTATTGTATAGGATCTGATGAGAGGAAAATGTTATCACAAGATGAAATGCATTCTTAGGATCTCAAGAATATACAGTAATGTGATGTGCTAAGAAGCTCTTGTTATGTATTTTGCTATTATGTCCTAAAGATAGGAAAGAAATGTCTCAATTATAACTTATCTTCACCTATTAATATATTTGCCATTTGAACTACTGCAATGTATAGTAATGTATTTTGCTATTAAATTACTAGAAGACATATGGTTTGATTTTTATTCATTTTTGTCTCTTTCCTGCTGCTTTAAGATAAATATATCTTTGGAAGATTTCACTGTTAAATGAGGCATGTGTCAGCAATTTTGTTTCCTAATACAGATATTCCAGTGTAAATAATTGACACCTTTCTTGAGAGGACATGTATGTCTTATGAAAAGGTTATTTTTTTGAAGGTATTAAGTTAAACTAGACATTTATAGCTTCCTCTTCAAATTATGCTTATCTTCCCAATGTTGTCATTGTTATTCACAATATTTTGATTCATTCCAACACCTTAGGTAGGAATGAATATAGTCTGATTGTACATTGATGGTCCTTTGGTAAGAATGACAATGTACAATGAGATTATATTTACATACCCCAAAAGCTGAAGAATACTCCCACCTCTCCATAACTCATTCCCTCCATTTGTGCATGGAGGGTGACAGGAATTCAACATTGGGCTTGTCCCAGCCACAGTTTGCTAGTCCCTCACAGACATTGTCCTATATCCATCTGTTTGTTTAATGTTTGAAAATAAATGTGTTAGACATCAAAGGTCATAGCACTATGGTAAAGTATTACATCGGAAAGGGCAAAGGAGAGTTAAAGATTACGATAAAATGTGTTAGATGTCAAGGGCTTGAGGCATTATAGGATAGCATGTTAGTGAAAGGGGAAAAAAAGTGAACTAGAGCAGAAATTACTATAGAGAGGAGGGTTAAGGAGGTAGGCGACAGTGAATTATAGTGTATCTGTCACTGGGGAAGGTATAAGAAAAATGTTCAAGGAAGAATAGAGATAGCTGTTGAAGAGTAGGAGAGAAATCCGGGGAGAGGGGAAGGTGTTAGGTGTGAAAGATTGGAGGGTGTTGTATGAAATTTTGGAAGAAAAGGAGGGAAGTAAATGAAATAGAGCAGTAATTAATAAATGGAAAGGTTAAGGAGGTAGAGCAATTAAATGAATTGCATTGTATCTGTGACTGGGAAGGAATAGGGGTAATAGGTGATAATGGTAAATATGGTTGTCTTAGTAATAGGGGATTAGGTATCTGAGGGTTGAGATAAAGGATCAGGAGTAGGTGAAGGAGTAGTGTCCGCAGGTTCGATAGGGAGGGTGGGGACTGGGGACGGGTGAAGAGATTCACGTTGGTATTCAGGAGGAAGTGGGAGGGATAGTGGGGAAGGATGGGGTTTGGGGGGTTTAGTTTGGGTGGTATGGGTGGTTTGGGTGGTTGAGAGGATGATGTATGTGGAAAAGAATGGGGTTTTGGGGAAGGATTTCGTTTGGGTGGTTGAGAGGATGAGATATTTTGGACAGGGGGTCTATAAGGGGGTAGAGTTGGGACATTATTCAAGGAAACAGAGGTGGCTGTTGGAGAAGTAGGAGGACAAAAATCCAGGGGATGAGAAAGGGGCATTGGGGAAGTCAGTGAAGTATCAGGAAGATAATAGATAGATAGATAGATATAGATAGATAGAGATAGATAGATAGATAGATAGATAGATAGATAGATATGATAGATAGATAGACAGACAGACAGACAGACAGACAGACAGATAGATATAGATAAATTATATATATACAAATAAATATTAAATATATAAATATATAATATATTAAATATATAAATAAAATATAATATATAAAATAAATATAAATATATAAATATAATATATAAATATATAAATAAATATAAATATAATAAATATAATATAAATAAATATGAATATATATATATATATGATATATATATATATATATATATATAATATAAATATATAAATAAATATAAAATATATAAATATAAATAAATATGAATATATATATATATATATATTATATATATATATATAATTATATATATAATATATAAATATAATATAAATATATATATATATAAATATAAATA